ACTTCTCCGACACTGAAATGGCGCCTAGTATGAAGGCGGACGCTTTTTAGGAGAGGTGTTCAGTGTCACTGGTGGAGGGAGTGCCCCCAAAGAAAATGGTGAGTTTTTCGCTGGATCCATCCACTTCCAATCTCCAGTATGGGAGGCTCTCGAGCCGTCTGTTTTGGTCTCGACCACTATTAGATATGGTTACTCTATACCATTTATGTCCTCGCCTACGAGGCCGAATATGACGGGTAACTAGCGAAATTTCAGATCTTCTGCAATCTGGTGTGGTTAGAGAAGTACCTGAGCCTTCGATCGACAATTTGCACGTACACCCCCTTTCAGTAGCTAAAGGTAAGAAGTTGCGGTTGGTACACGATCTCTCTCATCTGAGTAAGTTCATTGATGTGCCGAAATTCAAGTTGGATGACATGAGTACAGTTCTGCATGTCCTACCAGACAAGGGGTTCATGTCAACGTGTCAATGTGTCAATGTGTCATTTGATCTCAGGTCGGGTTACCACCACGTAAGGATCTCTCGAGATCACATTGATTGCATCGGTTTCAAATGGGAGGGGAAATTATACCAATTTCTCTGTTTGCCATTCGGGCTCGCCTCAGCTCCTCATATTTTTACTAAGATACTTCGCCCCTTCATCAAGAAGTGGAGACAGGGAGGGCTAGGGGTAGCAGTGTATATAGACGACGGGATAATTTTCCACCCTTCGAAAGAGGGATGCCTTCAAGCCGCGTCAGTCATCAAGAATGACCTGCTAGAAGCCGGTTGGCACTTCGCGGAAGAGAAATGTAACTGGGTGCCGTCCCAGGTAGCAAATTGGTTAGGTTTCAACATTAATCTCGTTGACATGGTTCTCAGCATATCAGAGGATAGAATCTTAAAAGCCAGGCGTAGGCTTTTATCATTGTTTAAATCCGCGCGCCCGTCCTTGTACGATAGGCTGAGCTGGTCAGGAACGCTGTCTTCCATGCACTTAGTCATGAGCATTTCAGACATTCGTTATACTCGGGGAGTAGCCCGGGAAATCGCCTCTGCTCAGAATCTTGAGTGGCCTCTCAGACGCAGATGGGCCAAGACAGACGAAGAGAAAGGTGAGTCGTCCTTTTGGCTACACAGGTTGGGAAAAGGTA